TTGGTTTGGAAGTCTCAATCATGTCTTTGTAAGCATGAAATGTATCTTATGCAGCTTAGTTATCCCAACCAGACCTTGGTAGTATGTCCTCTTAATGAGAGTACGTAGAGGGTGTAACCCATCATGTACTCCTAGGCTACTCTACGTATATTACTAGTGGTAATGCACAAGTGTGATGATTTTACTGGTGCCATGTGCATGTTAACATATAGTATGTGTCTTTTGCATAATGTATTATAATCTTATATGTTATTATTTATTATGCTATGAATGAATCAACTATGATGATGATATTATTGGTGTCTACTATGATTGAACAACAGTTAGGATAATGTTATTTGTATATGTTATATCTTATTATATGTATTATTTGTATATGTCTAGCCAGTTTGTATTCTTACACCGTGACCCAGAGAGATGTTTCTCATTCTCTTTTTTTTGTGTTATTATTTTTGTGTTTTTTTTAGGTAATCATTAATATGGTGTTGAGGATATTAGTGACGAAGTCTAGTCCTTCATTATGAATTGTGCTTTAATAAGACATGCAACATCAAGACATAGTTAGGATTAGTTAAAATTTAATTCATGTTATTTAATTTAAGCAATTTGATTTTAATTCTTTTATAATTTTATTAATTCTTTTAAGTCTAGTTTATGTTAACAATATGGACTTTTCTATTTATATAGATTTTGAATTTAATTATTATATCAAAATTATTTAATTTTTATATTATTTATATATTATGACATGCGGAGTAAAAAATGTTATAGTAAAGATAACTCATGCATCCCCGCGAATAACTTACTAGTTTTACACATTAAATTAAATAGTCTCCATTTGTTTTGAAATTTAAAATAACAAGCGAGGTATCATTGTTTTGATGACAAAGATATAAGGATCTACGTTTTGTCCGATAAATGTAGCTGACCGTTAAGAGTATACTTGCGTAAAATATTATTTGTTATTTATTTGTTTAGTACACACTAAAAGAAAATTGAGAGAGACTCAAGCACCTCACTATGCCATTTCTTTTCTCGTATGAGCAATACTTTTTTTTATTGCTTTAAAAAATACTTTTGTGACTTAAAATCTACATACATGTGCCTATCTCTAACTGAATACACTTTTTTTGTGAGTCCTATTGAACAGACTAAAATAAACAAAATAAATTACTAAATGTCGATATCTGTTTAGAATTTTTTATAACTAGTTATTCGATCTTCCATTCACAAAATGCAACACGGAAACAACCAAACAAGTCATAAGTCACATATCACATTACCTATTCCTCAACCTCATATGTTATGACAATGACTTTTCTTTTTATGACAAAGTTGCAATGTATTGACTCATAGTATAGACTCCACACCAATAAAGGTGTGTTTGAATAACCATTCTCACATGTTTCTATACACCTAAAGGAAAAAGCTTCTCTTTTGATGAATTGAATTTAATTGACATTTGATGATTTAAAATGAGAAACCAAACAAATATTAAGTTATTGGTCTAAGTAATATTGAATCGATTTTTTAAAAATAGGTCTTATATTAAAATTTTATACATGAAAAAATCACAATTAGAAAGAAGGATTCTATTAAAAATATCATTTATATTCTTTAATAGGTACTAGTTATTGGTGAAATAAATATATATTATGTCTCAATTAGGGATGGCAAAAATACCCGCACCCGCGGGTATCTGTGGATAAAATCCGCTACAGATAATAAATGGATAGGCTAATTGGGTACCCGCGGATAATGGGGACGGATAATTTTTTACCCGTTTATAAATGGGGCGGGGGCGGGTATGATGATATTCATACTCGCGGGTACCCGTT